ATGATGTCAATTACAGGCCTCTCTCATCTTTTTAAGTGGGAGAACATGCACAATTGGTGGCTAACTAAATACTTTTTTTGCCCCACTCTAAGTCTGCCTTGTTTTCCCAATTAGAAGGAGGCTGTGTGCAGATGCAGAACATAGCTCTATTGCTTATTAAATTTGATCTGCATGTTTAGTGTGATGTGTGAAATAGAAACATAGGTAGTCCTCACTTAGCGCTATCTTGTTTATCAACCGTTTTGTACAATGGTTAATGAAAAAGTAACCAATCCTAGCATTTACCACGTTCATAGGTCTGTAAAGCAACAGAAAACTGATGTTACATTCTAAGCACAATTGTGATTACTTAACAACCAAATTGCCACTCCCAATTGTGCTCATTACCTGTATTGATTAATGCACAAAACAATATGTTCCTCCACCCAGGGCTTTAAACCAGAATCATACCATGTAAACCAGTTAGGGTGAGAAGCCAAAGACAGAAGAGGAGAGAGTGTAGACATAATGCTCCTTTTGATTGGCAAATTGTAAACAGGATTTTTTTTTTGAAGAACAATTTATTAACATGGAAATCTTTTATTGCTTTTTCTATCAGCTAGTCTGCTTATATTTTTTGTAAGATCTGTAACATGCCTGTATAATTTGGATGTATCCTATTATAGGACCATTCTAGAATGGTGTATCTCTAAATAATGTCATCTTATTTTTTTAAAAAAATACAATGATTTTACATTAAAATAGGTTGAAGTATAACCCTTTTAAATAGAGGAATTAGGAGTACCAGCTTGAATAAAAAGTATTGTTTTATTAGTACTTTACATCTTTAACAGCATATCTGCCACTTTATGGTCATTCTGAGCTGTTGCCATTCCAAATTCCTCTAATTTGCAAAAATATCAAAAATTTAATTTCTTTCTTTCTTTTTCCCTTGAGAGACGTCGGCTAATTTCCCAGAGATCTTCATTGGAGACTTTGGAAGACATTGAGGAAAATGCTCCCTTAAGGAGGTGAGGTTTTTTTCCTGATTTATACTGTATATGTCCGTGATGGCGAACCTATGGCACGCTTGCTGGAAGTGGCATGCAGAGCTATCTCCCCGGGCATGCCAGCCATTGCTCTTCCTGGTTCCGCACTGGCCAGCATGCCAGGAAGCTGAGTTTCCGGTTTCCGGCACATGCATGCAAACCAGCCAACTGGTCTTCATGCATATGCGTGCCAGAAACCAGAAGACTAGGTGACTGACACGCATGTGCATGCCGGAAATTGGAAGCTCAGCTTCCTGGCACCTGCATGCACGCCAGGGAACTGCTCTTCCAGTTTCTGGCGCTCCCGTGCATGAGCACTAGGGAGCCGCTCTTCCGGTTTCCGGCACTCCCCCACTCATGCTCCTGTTTTGGCACTTGGTGCTGAAAACGTTCGCCAACACTGGTATATTTTGTTCTGTCATTCACATATTATGTACGATAATAGGAATTCAGAGCAGTTTGTATTCACTGAAGCTAACAGTGATTTGTGCAGTAACTTACTGTAGCGTGAGAACAAATTGTTCAATGTGTGATGTATCTGAAAATCCATTCTGGTCTACTAGGCATATTTTTGTATTCTTAGGCAAGATGATTAAATAGAAAAGCTCAAGGCAGACATAAATGGGTTCTTAATTGTATGATAAAAGAAATGTGGAACTACTAGTTAGTCATGAGCTTTAGAGATGCAGTTCATATTCTTTTTCTTTGAAGGAACCTCAGATAAGTTAAATAGCTAATAGTCAGAACAAGCAGTAGTCTTGTTCTTACTATTAGCAAAACAAACACAAATATAGAAGAGATGTGCTAATTCAGAACCTGCACCAAACAATGCAAAAGTTGTCACTGGGCACCAAAAGAAATAAAAAAAATGAGAGTAGACAAAAATTGTTGGGATGTATGTTTTGGAGATGAGGTAAACCAAGAGAGGCCAGCCTTCTATCATCACTGCCTTCACTTCAGGGGTTAGGAAAAATTAAAGAAAGTTTTTGGAGAAGATTAAGAGAAAATTAAAGTAGCTTTTATTGCTCAGGTGTGGATATCCTTTTATGACTAAGAGGCATCCTAGCATTTTTCCCACCTCTTGTTGGTGGGAACTGGCCCATGTATTTTCAACTTCATAATCACAAGAGACTCCAGGACCTCTGGAAAAAAAGCATTTTGTGCTCATACAGCCATGGAATCACAAATTGACCACCCATGTTAAAGAAAGAAATGCTACTGTTTGAGAAAGCTGGTTTTCGGAAAACTGCTTGCTGCAATAAATTTTATCTAATTTGCTGGGATATCATTTGCCCTTTAGCCTTGCAAATACATGGGTTAACCATATTTAGAAATTGATGGCCTGGAGGTATTTTGCCCTCCGTTTTCTTAGATTGGTAAACAAAGTTTTAGAATACTTTGCTGTCTCTTTTAGTTTTAATCAACATATTTCATCAGTAGACTTAACCAACTCATTGCTTGTTCCTAATTCTAGATAATATATTAGCAACAGTATAGTTCTATTATGTTACTTCCCTCCAGAGTAAAAATAAATCGTTAATTTTTTCCTCTTTGCTGTTCTTTAGCTAAGAACCCTAAGGTGATTTTGGTTTTTTATCCCATGGCAGCTAAATCAGCTTAAATGTTTTTGTAGACACTTTGTCAAATGCTTTTAAATGCACCAAAATATTTATTGATGAATGTACTCAGTTAATTCACATGGCTCCCACTCTGAAGATAATCCAGAAGTCCTTGAAGACTTGTTTAGTGTCTCAAACTTGGGGCTAAGGTGTATGTTGAGTCCTTGTTATTTGTTTCCATTACTGCATATTGTATGTTTTCTGGATGTACGTGATTCTTTTTTGGGCTCAGTTTTTTGTTACTTTCTAATTTTTAATTGTAAGATGTACCAAATTATCCAGAGTCAGGTGGCTTCTATGTTTAAAACATAGTGGTTTACATAGCAAAAAATATTCCTAAAGCCTTGTAAGAGAGAACCATGCAGAGACCATGTCAGTTAGGTTTTCCTTCCAATTAACTTTCTAGTTTCAAGCTTCTAGAAATCCAAATTTTTGTAACATGTTTATTGTGTCCAGATTTTTTTTAGGTTTTAAGCCTATCCTATTTATGGAAAAAATGTGGTGAGGACTTTGTAATTAAATACTTACATATTCTCTCCTTCTCCATCTTTAATTTGAAGCCAGCTTTACTAAATCACACCTTGTTCTAATTATCAAAATACTGTATAAACCAAGAACATGTACTAAGCATCTCCTTTAGTAACAGGTCTTTTTTTTCTCATTTAATCATGTTTTATGTTTCAAAAGCAATTTTCAGGCGACTTTTTTTAAAGCACCTATAATTTGTACAGCAAGAAACAAGCTGCTTTGTCTCATCTCTTTCTTATGCTAGCTTCAGAAGAAGAATAAAACATAAGGAAACAAGAGCTGTACAAACTCACAAAGCCCTCCTAGAAGAAGATTGTTCCTATCTGTTACACTCCTGTCAGTTTTTGTTTATTCAGTATGGTTGTTATAATATGTCAAATGTTTTGCAACTGAGCAACATCATGGGAGCATTGTACTGTTTTTAGTGTGGTATATTTAACACCGTCGGGAGTAAAGACAGGATTTTCAAAATTGTAAAAGGAATTTCAAGTCTTCATTCATAGTGAGTTAATAAGACAGAGTTCCTTTGAATTACTTTGAATGCTTCTTTCTGATTTTTTTTCTCCCAGACTAAGTTGCTATTTATGCAATAAGCATATTATAAACTGTAAGAGTTTAAGCCTGATCATTTGTGCCTTGAGTGGTAAACTCCAGGGTGATTCTATGATCCATTCTATGTTCTATATCCATTTGTTTGTTTTATTGGCTGTCTGTAATACTCTCCAGTTTTCTCCAATTTCAAAGTTCAAAAGCATCAATACTTTTTCTATCTTGGATTTTTCCCTGGCCAATAATTTTAAAACTATTTTAAATGACTTTTGTCCATATCATTTGAAAGCAAAAACCAAAAATATATTAACCTATCCCGAAACAAAGATAATTTATACAATGAAATATTATTGGAATGTGTACATATAGAATTTGTGATCTACATCACGACTCTCTTTACTTGTGCAACAGTTGAGCCAAACACTATGTAAACTATGGCAGGAGATTAATAACAGCTAACAGAATTCTGTTTTATTCAGAAAGGGGTATTAGGGAATATAGCTAAGCTGTTTCTGTCTGTCTCTGTATGGATGTGCATACACAGTCATTTCACTTTTTTTGGTGAGGCAAAAGAAAACAAGCAAAGTGTGCACATACAAACATGTGAAGATGATCCAAAACCTCATTGTTCTGGAATCTAGATGCACATCATAATCAAGAATTGATTTCATTGTTTGAAGATCCTTCAACTAAAAAGCTCTTTTTGACATAAGCTGCCATCTGTAGTAGAGAAACTGTATTGGTAAAATAAACTGAGTATATTAAAAGGAAGGCTTGATTGCTCTGCATCTTATTATTTAAAAGGAAATCTGTCTAGGGGGTTTAATCGTGTGATTCGGTGCGCAGCAGAAGTTTTATTTGATGATCCAAAACCAAGATCTAAAATTTTCCCAAGTAAATTGCTGACTACTGGATAACAAGTGCTCTGTCCTATCAGGAGCCAGGTGTGTGTGTGTGAAGAAAAATTGGGGAAATCCTTGAGTTTAATGCCTCTTCTATTTTTTAGTATTCCTTTGGGGGGGGGGAGGCTTTAATTATGAAACCTGCCATAGTAACTCTTGCTTCCATTGTTTCAAATTAAAGGCAAAAAAATCACCAGTTGAAAATTTTGAAATGGCCACTTTTTTTTTTTAGTACTTTTCACGACTATAAGCCGCACTGAAAATCCTAAAATTTGATCAAAAACCGGCAGTGCGGCTTATAACCTGGTGCGCTTTATATATGGAGCAGTTTCCCTCCCCAGCGCCCAGGCTTTCTTCTCCGTTCGCGCCTCCCGTCCCTTCCACCGTCTGAGCAGTTTCCCTCCCCAGCGCCCAGGCTTTCTTCTCCGTTCGCGCCTCCCGTCCCTTCCACCGTCTGAGCAGTTTCCCTCCCCAGCGCCCAGGCTTTCTTCTCCGTTCGCGCCTCCCGTCCCTTCCACCGTCTGAGCAGTTTCCCTCCCCAGCGCCCAGGCTTTCTTCTCCGTTCGCGCCTCCCGTCCCTTCCACCGTCTGAGCGGTTTCCCTCCCCAGCGCCCAGGCTTTCTTCTCCGATTGGTTTTAATGGGGAGGTCCGATGGAATAG